ACGATCGATTGGACTACCGCCAAATTCCGATTCCTGCAGTAAATGTATTAATTACTGTAATAAATACTGGAGGTATTTTGGTAAGGAATTTAAAAATTGATGATTTTGGAACCTGGTGCATGTATATGCGCGATGTTGGCTCTTTTCGCTTTCGATACATTGGCCAATTCCTGGCATCTTTCCATGGTCCAGAAAAGCTCCTGAATTGAGCAGTGTTTTTTAAGACGTAATAACCACGTGACAAAAGTGGGAGACAACAGATGGACAAGGCGGATTGTTGAATGCTACCCTCATGATATTGAATGAAAAAGATTACCAATAAAATGAAAGGATCTTAAGACACACTAAACTTGCTTGCAAATGAACTCTAGTTACCCTTTGTGCATTTTGCCAATGGGTTGTACTTATTGATTTTGCATCAAAAGATTGAGATTCAGAAATTGGTTTCTTCCTGAATGATATCTTATCTGGCTTAAATGAAGAAACCCAGCACTAACCTATATTCTCGAGGATCAAAAACGTATGGTTCTGCCGTATAAGCGCGATTATATTTATTGCACGTTATTTTGTAAGGTGTTGGCGATATAGTTCGAGATGGTGCAGTTCTGAAATCCAGATAATTTGAAAAACTATCAAAATAAATCGGCAGACATCAAATATTAGTGAGTGGTACCCTCGAGGAAGCAAACACTCCTCTCGGGCTATCTGAAAAGAAGTAGCGCGCATAAATCGAACAGGATTTGGATACTAACTGAAAGCATGCTGCTCAGGATCGAGGGACCCACAGCAGGAGCATCTCAGTAATATCACTAACATTGGATTCACACATTGATTACCCGAGGGGTTTGGTTTTCTTAATATTAATTCGCTTGAAATCGAATAGTAACACAAAGGTTTTGCAAGATGACTTAGAAGTTAAAAAATTTCCAACATAATTTGGCTCATTGTCGTAGGTACATCGGCTGCTAAATTGCTTTCAGCACCAGATTCATAGCGGTTTAAATTATTTTGAATCAATACTTTTGAGATTTTGTTCGTAACAAATTGCCTTAATTAGCTTATACCTCGATCTTCGATAGAACGAGGAGCTTGAACCAGGTTGTTGATAGCTTCGGTAT